AGTACATTTTTATTATTAGTTAGTTAAATTTATGAGTATATGCAGTGTCAACATACCATGAAATGAAGGAATTACCAATTTCCAGCATGAATTACTTGAAAAAAGGGACTGTGTTAGATGCAGAGCTGTTGAATAAATCAGCAATGCTACAGTGGTTAATTACAAAGTTACTTAAAGGAAGAAAACCTGCAGTATTTTACAGTGTATTAAATTTGCAATTGGTTCCTAGGGTGGCTAACACAATATTAGAAATCTAATACATTTCATGAATGAAATGCTTTAATGTCTGTAAAAACCATAGTTTAAGGCCAAGTCCATATTGACCAGCAATCAGACTACAAAATATCCTAACAGCAATTAGCTTTTTCTCAGTATTTTCCATCAGTGGACTGCAAGTGTATAAAAGGGGAATCTATAATTATGCTTATTTTACTGATGAGGTGAAAGATGCATGGGGAGAAGTAATGCAGCCAGGGATATCTGACAGACTAATTGCAGCCTGAGTGGTATCATTCTGCCCCTCTAATCTCAGGCAACCTTAATGGCCAGTCTCACAGCAATTTTGACAATTTTCCACATTTCTCTTTTTTTTTTGAGGTTGGTTTTTTTCCCAAGTGTAATCTAAAGACACTGTATCGGACACATTAACTTTTAATGACAGCCACAGGCAGCTGCAATTTCTCTCAGTAAAATAAATGATTAATTAGTAAAACACAGTATGCAATATATGTCCAAAGTGACTTAGTCCTATTGCTAATTGTAGCAATTAGCTACAGCTCCATAGCCTGCATGGTGTTTTGCAGAGCTCCAAAAAAAAGCATGGGCTGAATAATTTATATTCCAAATTACACAAACATAGACAACATATCTTAATTTTCTAGATTAGCAACCAGTAAGGTCACTTCTGATAGCCCCATAAAAATCCCTAAAAGTAGAATTATGCAGCTGGTAAACTACATATTTCATAAAGAATACATGGAAAATATGACCTTATTTCCTTCCACAAGCCTGAAGATTTTCTTTTTATTATGGCGCTCAGTAAAATTAATCAACAAGCTCAACAACTAAGGGTTGAACAAAACCCCATTATCACTGACTAAACGGATTCCTTCCCAATACAACTGTATTTTTCCATTGTTTATTTCAGCATAAAGACCTTCTCTTGCTAGGAACAAAGCCAAAACCATACAAGTTTTGCTCATATGTTTGTGCCTGAAACGTTCAACCAAAGATTTTAGAAAAGGCAAAACCCTTAAATGTCCCCTCGATTACCCAGACTTCAATATTGCCTAAGCCAGCTATAACTCAAGCCATAAAAAAGTTAACAGATAGAAATAATTTCATTCTCATCTGGAAGAGTACAGGAAAGCCAACATATTGCTTGGTTAAGAGGCATTATACACTCATTATTGCTGATAGTAATGAGTGAGAGTGAAGCTAGTCTGGTTTTCAGAAGCTCATTGGCTGAACACAATCAGTTACCAGAAACATTATAAAACATAGAAAGTATAGAACAACAATTACTCGATACTTTCCTCCTGCAATGGGGAGAAAAAAAATGACAGATTAATTGAAAAAGCATTCAGAGCAGAGGCCAGTCTCAAGTCAAAAGGTACAGAATCAATTTCTTAGGAGTGGACAAAACTCCCAAATTTCATCCATCCAACTCCTAATTTTCTTGTCTTCTCTCTTTCAAATGAGGAGTTACTACTAGCAAAAAGATCAGTACTATAAAGACTGTGAGAAAAGAAAAAAACCAAAAACCAAACAGTCAAAATAAACATCCAAGAGCTGCAGAGAAAAGGGAGACCAAGACATCACGGACAGGCTGCAAAACAGGTTGCATTGTCTGCTGTGCTGAAGTGGCTTTTATCAAGCTGCCCATGCTGGGTAATATGGGTAACACTCTGGTAGAACTTGTTTGTGAAATTATGCATCCCACAGGCCTTGGTTATACAAATCATCGCAGATTTGTCTGTCAGAAATGGAAAAATCCATGAGAAAAAGTTGCAGATGGGATTGAGAGAGATCTTCCAGAGCACTTGGAAAATGATTGAATTTCCTCACATGCCAGGGTTCAGCTTTGTTCAATGAGGTTTTCCAAAACATTGGGAAACAATCTGCCTTATGAGCCTTGCATGGCCAAACCTATAAAGAGTAGACATTTTCAAGGCTTTTTCACTGAAAGTTAAATGGTAATTAATTCTCTTAATTGAACGATCATTCATTAGCTTTTTACTAAATAACATTCTCAATCTTGAGAGTTACTGCCATGCCTTCAATTTCCCTTTTCAAGATAAGACTAATAACAAGCCTCTAAGTCTGCAGCACAGTACAGCATACATTGTATGCAGTTTTTCCACTTAGATTCTTCAATTACAAGCAACTGCAACAAAAAAAAAAGCATATTTTACTAGCTAGTATTAAATTTTGGCAGATCATAATTAAATTATTCCTTAGAAGCAGTGCTCAGTGCTTAAGAAGAAGGATTACATCGAATAACAGGGCTAATATTTTAATGCAATTAGCATGTTATTTTTCAATAAAGAGGTACACACTACTACAATTCCTTCTATAGGTAATATCAACTATAAAACAAATACTGCAACTTCTTTTTCTGGTAACCTGTGTAATTTTCCCCATGAAGTTTGTAGGCTTTTGAAGTGGATGAAAATACATGACATATTATTACTTTTATAAATATATAATCTTATTTTACACACTTGCAAGCATAAAATACTTCCATTCTATAAAAGACTGCCAGAGACTATGTTTGACTACATCTAAAAATGCCTGAGCATTCCATGGTAAGGAAAGAACTTTTCTTTTATGTCTTTTGTTCTGTACTGTTCTGAGTTTGATTTATAAAATTGGTTGGGGCAGAAGTAATTTTTGGATGAAAAAATTACATCTAGTTGCAATGGAAGTAAGGGATCCTCTCCATGGAAACTGTCTGCTAAATATGCTCACATGACTTATTTATCAGATTCTTCAATACAATATTTCAGTTTTATAGGATTATATTTTCCTGTAATCTTTCACTAATAATTTAAAAGTGACAAACTTATAAATATCTGAATTTCTGTGATGTCATTTCAATATAAATTTCCAACATATTATTAAGGTCATGTCCTTGGTTGTACCAAGTAGCCACCTGGGTTCTTTTGAGGTAAGTTACAGCACATATGGACATCCAAATGTAGGATTAGGAAAAGGCCATTTTGATGTCATAGGGCAAGAGAAGAAAACTACAGACACACACTGTATCCCAGCCAGCTGGGGAGAGGAAAATGATACAGTACAAAGGAACAAATAAGTAAAAGAGTGAGTGATTGCATTGAAAAAATAAGATCATTGAGTTACATAAGGAGGTATTAGTAACTGGACATGAAATTCCATTGAGTCTCATGAAATACCTCATGTTCCTTTTGTGGAGATCACCTGGTGAATGTTTTTAAAGATGAAGTACTGAAAGGTACAATGTATTTCCAAACAGAAAATAACAGTTTCTTACACAAGTTTAATGGAACTCTAAGTTAAAACTAAAATTCTTACGCTTACCATCATGGTAAGAAAGAACTTTTCTGAGCATTATAGACTTATCCACACTAGAAGCAATAGAGAATGCTGCCAATATTACCACATGAATGTTAGAACTGCTATGTCATATAATATTTGTTATTTATTTCCAGTGAAATTAAGTTACAAATCCTTTAATTTCACTCTATATTCTCACATTATATAAAAAGCAACTAATGGAGAATTAACAATTTCAGTTCTGGATTCAGTAACCCAGAAGTGCATTAAGGATCCATACAGCACAAATCAAGCTTCTGATGAAGCTTCAGTGAACTGAAGGAAACTGGAAAGCCTGGGGCTTGCCAATGAGCAAAAAACATGCTGTTTAGGAGTACTAATTGCAAGCTACCATGGGTAAACCTTTGATAATCCTTTTCAGATAGGACAACAGTCAGTTGAATTTAGATACAGATCATCAGGAAGTGAGCAATAAAACCCCCCTATTTATTTTTAGTTTGTTATATGAAGCTTCAAGAGGAGAAATTCTGTTTCCATCTTCAGGAAAGAAGTTACAATGATGTAGTCACATACTGGAATGGTTACCCAGAGATGATGTGGAGACCCCATTAAGGTACCAAAAGTTTAAGTGCACAAGGATCTGAATAACCTCTTCTGAGGTGGCCTTGCTTTGAGTAGAGAAGATGGACCTCCAGAGAGTCCTATGAACATAAATTATTCTGTATTTCTATGAACTATATAGATAAAAACAAACAAACTTTCTTGTAGATCAAAGTAATGCAAACTGCAATTCGCTAACAACGAGGATGAAAGTTCACAGCATATACCTGAGCAAAGGCTCCACAGCTGGAAAGTATAAAAAAAAGTTTCCAAGTAATTTTATTTCTCTAAAATTCTAGAAACAGACACAAAAGAAAATTTTCAAAGCAACACCAGCAGTCTATAGGAGAAGCAGGAGAGAATATAGCATGACAGGACAAGCTAGGACTCTTGAAATTGTTAGGAATGGCCCAGTGAATGGCATACAAAATCTGATTTCAGCAACCATTTACAAACTCACGCTGGTAACCTTTTAGAACTGTTACTTAACAGTTGTTTTTTTTTTAATCTCTGTATTTCTTCTCTAAATGAATTGCATGCAACTTCATAATGCGTAACAATGAAAACAATACAGTATATTTTGACCTGAAGCAGCTGGCCTCCCCTGTCCCCTTTTCAGTAAAAGCTCAAGAAAAAAGCATTACACTCTGGACACCAAGATAGCAGGATCATTTAAATTCTGCCGAAGCAGAAACTTTCTGACCTTCACCATGTTGAGGCATGACTATTTATACTTCTGCATCAATTTCTTGTATTCAAGACATATTAAAAAACATCAAGCCCATAAACTTTACTGACCCTTTTCTGCTGCTTAGCTCATTAATGCTTAAATATATTAATCTGACAAATAAGTGGATGATTACCTCTTGAAGAACCCTCTTCATTTTCAGAAGCAATGTCTTCACAGCCGTGCAGTCTTGGAGCATCAATCTGAAGGGCAGAGACTCAATGCCTCCACCTTCTTCCAGACCAGTGAAAGGCCACTCCACAGATGGGCTGCCAGCCAGCTGGCTGACACGAGGGTACCTGGCTTCTCCTTGCTCCACTTCCTTCGACAGCTTCAGGGATAGATTCCTTGTGAGAGAAAACAGAAAGGTCAACACTAAAATATGAAAAGGAACTAATAAGTTGGGGGGTGGTAATTCCTCTGAGCTTAGACACTTATGCATTTGCTTTTTGAGCCTACTAGCATGAACATCCTTTATAACACACATGTAGCGTATGGCATTAGCAATAAAATATGCATTTATAAAAGGAACACATTCTACAGGAATTAAAGCCATGCCCTAGCTCACACCCTACAAAAGAAAGCCATTTTCTTAAAACAAAATATCCTATGGGCAAAACTTCTACAGGTCTATTTTATTTCAGTTGAGCTTTACAAAAAAAAAGAATCTGTCATGCACTTTTAGAAGCTAAATCAAATCACAGTCTTCCATGTGCTTTGACTTAGAACTCAGAAAGAAAAGAAAACTGAAAAAAAAAAAAGACTCCCTTCTGGGCTGGCCCAGTGACATAAGATGAACCTGTCGTATAAAAGAGAATATGGAATTTAATTAAAGTGCACTAACGCTTAGGTTTAGTTACTACTAAAGCTATATAAGCAGAGCATGAAACAAAACAACAGTATGCTGTGGTTGAGAATGCATTCAAGACACAAATATTTTGATGGGCTTTAAAGGCAATGAAAGACCATTATTTTGCTGCATACACACTATCTTCCTTTAATATCAGAGCAAGTTATCTAACCACTTCTCCCATGATGAAGAAAGGCATACAAAATTAACTCAGTACAATTAAAGTTGCTAACATAAGCAGTGAAGAAAATCACAACTATTATTATTCTTTTAAAATATTATTTCAATTTACTGTTCCATTTGAATTTTTATGCAACACAAACTGATTCTGCCATAGTTAGGAAGGACAAAGAGTTTTCCCACATAAAATTTTTCCTTAGCTTTGGTTTATAGGATCCACAGATAAAACCAGATTAATATGATTTCTTAATATAAATAACTCCCACTGCCATACTAAAAAAAAATGGAAATTAAGATACTAAAACTGTATTTTATGGAGGGTTCATTTTTATATTTTGAAAGTTATTCAATATGCAGTAAATAAAACATGTTAGATCAAGCAATGTACCACAGATTACACACATGGACAGATCCTCATCATGGCCAATGGAACTAAAATTTCAGGCTCTTCAAGATTCATAAAAGAACAAAAATTAGTTTGTTTTAATTTTAAAATGTGTTTAAACATCTTTGCGTAGAATATTTTGCATCCTTTAAAATAAAAATATGAGGTGGATGGTAAAGTTGCTTTTGACTGAAGGATATTAAACCACTGCTGTTTTACAGCCTTTAAACAAAACCCAGGTATAAATCATGCAAAGAAATAACTTAGGAAACTGAAGTATCATAACACAGGCCACTTTTAAAGGTTTATAAAAGAAGCCATATTCAAACTATTGGAATCTACACTTGCATATGATTTATGTGCCCAGAAAAGCACATTATTTAAATTAAGATGAAACAACAAGATTCCCTTTTTTCTCCCACCCAGTGCCTGCAGACTAGAAGATGGATTATTCTTTAGAATATTCTGCACATCCACTTTGTAAGTCTCACTGAAGTTTCATCTTCCCCATACTCCTGTACAGGCATCCTGTGAGGGTCCCACCCTGACCCTGAGAAAGGACCAATTTAAGATGAACTGTCTCCCAGAAGTCTTTTACTGCCCACTATCAGGATGAAGCATCTGGTATCTCCAGCCATGCCCTGCTCCCCAGAGAGGAGGAAATAAGTGGTATTCTTGGAAAATTACCCTCCTCTCTGGAAGAGATACAGTGTTTATGTATAGGCTATGGATGTACTGGAAATACAGCAATTCTGAATTTCAAATAAAGAAAATATTTTCGGTTACATCAGTGGGCTTTATATTGATATCACAGCACCCAACACACAAAATTACCATCTTTTCAAATACAGAATCTTGTACTAGTGTATGAAAAGCACCATAATAACATATTACCACTCACAGTCTTAAGAGTTTAAAAGCTGACCCAATTGCTACTTGAAAATGGTGACTCAGAGTTAGTTGGTATACAAAGAGTAATCAGACTATACAGTCCTTCCTGATAGTTCAGCGGTGCTTTAACTGATCTGTGACAGAAAAACTCTGCACTTCTTGATACAACTCATCCTACTTGCTGCAGAAAAAAGAAGCTCATTTCAAATTCATTCCAGAAATAGTATTTCATTAAGTTCCTTATTAACAACATCTAGGTGGTCTGTTACATTATTATTATGGTAATCCACTGCAATTCATCTCAAAGCAGCAGTCAAGATCTAGAAAGGAAAAAAAACAAACCCCATTCTTCCTAAATTAGAAGTTTCACTTTATTAGTAAAACATCTCAGCCTGCAAAGTTGGAGTAGGGGCTGGCTCCTTGGCTGGTGGTGCAGGAGGTCCTTAGAGATGGCCAGACCCTCCACCTTCCCAGCACGCATTCACTGTAATAAAAACATTTTACAGGTAAATATTATCTGTGAAAAACTTCTTAAGCCCTTGGAAAAATGTCTCAAAAGGTCTACTTGAATGACCAAAAACAATGTATTTCCTTTGAGTGACAACATTAAGTATATTATCAACATACACTATCTCAGAAAAGCAATTTGGCCACTTTTAAATACATGGCTATGGCCTGAGCTCTAAATTCACCTGCCATATGCTCAGGCTAAGTTCCTACTTTAATAAACCATACCTGAAAATGTTCTGAGCACTGCAAGTCAGTCTCAAAACACTTCTAAAATGGCTTGACCGCTCTTTTCAATGATTCCCTGGCATGGTTTGGTTGTCACTACAGGCAAATTGGATGGCACCACTCCATTCAGGAGGATGTCAGTAGTGCAGATGTGCACTGAAACCCCATCCCATAGAAATGTCTCCTCCAGTCCCTGAGCCTGGCCATGGAGCCGTGAATGACAATAGAGGAAGGAACATAATGTTAGTAGAATTACTGCCATCATAAGGTCAGAAAATCCACAGAAACATTGTGACAAGTGTGTAACCATTAAATAGGGTGAAAACTTGTGCAACTCAAAGGTACTTGCAGCCTGATGGCTTGTTCCTTATTTATCTGGACATATCTACTAAGTACCACAAATCTATTTCTCCATTTCTAATTGATACTAAGAATCAGAAGCTGCAATATCCACAGTCAGTAAAATGGTAGTGCCATTAATGCAGATTTCTTTTTCAAAAGCAATCTTTATTGAAATAGTATGCTAGCATTAAAATAATCAATCAGTGGCTTTCAGCATTTAATAGCCTGCATCAATCCAATGCAACCACATATTAAGTGAGTAAGAGACACAGTTGAGCAGCTCCTTTGAAAGCTCCTTTTCCCTAGGAAGGTAGAACAAAACCAATTTTCTTATACTAAAGAATTCTTGAAGTATTTTATTAAAAAGAAATAGGAAAAAAAGGGGGGGGGGGAGGGAAAAGAGAAAAAATAAGAGGAAAAGGGAAAGAAAGAAAAAAAAAGAGGACCCAAAGACATGGATTTGCAGCTTGAGTTTAAGTTATTCTTCCCTTCTTACTGATCCTCAGATCAATGATTTAAACAGCTTATGGTAATTTGAACTTCACTTACATAAAGATCCCCAGATTATGTGGACTTTAATCTTCTTAGTTTTCATCAGCAGTGCTCAAGATGTTGCTAAAGCAGAATTAGCCTAAACTAACACAATTGGTTCCCCTGAGTCTGCTTCTCTTGATATCAGCTTAACAGAGGAGAACCCGTGTAACACTGTTGGCATCAGGAAGGCTCTGAAAGCAGAGCAAAAGACCCCAGACTCTATGAGAAGAGCTGAACACACCTCCTTTCTTCCCTGAGGGCTTATCTTCTAAAGCAGGGTCTTAGAAAAAGCCTTAAATCTCTAATTTTCAGTGTTTCAGAATGCAGCTCTCTGTATATATATTCATAAATAAAGATACCATATATATACACACACACTTTTACAGCTGTATATATATATGTATGGTTGTAGAACTCCTATATATTTATATATAAACTCATAAAAATTTGGTCTTCATAATTTTTTCAGAAAAACAAGTAGTTCTTATTTGTCCATTGCCTGGCCCATCCTTTTACATTTGAAGAAAAATATTTTTAGTTTCATACAGGTGTTATGTCCTGAAATGCTATTTCCTATTCATCTAGAAAGCCTTCAATTCATATTTATTTTCCTTCACAGTAAATAAATTTTCCTCCATCAGAAAATTAACTAGTTACTACTCTGATGAAGATCCCCCAGCTGGACCACCTAAGACACACAAGAGCAATTGCTTCTGATTTTTAGAGGAAAAGCTGCCTACCTCAAATACTTCCATAATCTAGTTTGAAGCACTCTGTGGCACCACTAAAATGAAGTACATAACCCGTGAAACCCTACTATCATCCCATACTGAATCTTAATTCCTGAGTGATCTTCTACCAATCTCATCTAGTAAAGAGACATGCTCTATCCCAAACAGTGGACAACTGAAATACAGGAAGATCTTTTGGAGAAAAAGAAAGGCCCCTCTTAATATTTAACAGAATTAAGGCACAGACTTTAAAAAGCATATTCCTAAATACTACAGTGAACATATAAAATAATTCCCTACTAGGTGCCTAAATGTTCTCAAGATCTAGTCAAGAAGGATAAAAAAATTGGCAAATTCACTCAGTTCTTAAAACACAGGCTTTGCAATACTAAGACAAAAAGCTAACCAGAACTTAAACACTTGGCTAATTACCCATATTAGCATTATTTGGCATCAAAATTTCTACCTCTGTCTCACACAATTTCTCAATATTGCTTCTGTTCTAACAGAGTGCTTCAGAAGTTGTAGGGATAAGATTTTGGAATCTTGTACATCAGTGTGTCATAAGGTACACGCTGGTTGACATCTTACAGCTTTTAGAGCTGTGTATCCTTTATTGATGTTATGATTTTTCAAGGTCAGCCTTTTAGAGAAATGATGTCCAGTATCTGTCACTATCAAACTCTCCACCCACACTCT